CCAGGCACGTTGTAATGGAAATTAATTAGGCAAGTTCCTCCCCTGACAATGGCGAGAGACAACGACCCAACGATGGCGATGACTGTGAAAATTGCCCTCGGCTCTCTATATCATTTTTTAATTTAGTGGGCGCCCCCTTCTATGGGACATAATACCAAGTACGACTACGAGCATATATAATTTATATCCAGCAGTGTGTGAATTAACGAGCAGATGTCGGAATGAGTCGACGACAACCGAAGGAAGCTTGGAATCCGTTGAGAGCTCTGGTAAACTGAACGAATATTCTATAAGTGCTAGAATTAATGATTAGAAAATGTGAACCAGGGATCTTAGAAGTGTGTCCCTAAAAAGGTATGCATATACCACTATCATCTTTCAAAAGAGAATTATCCCCTGAGTTCTCTTCGATTGATTGAGTGTCCAAACATAAACATATGCGTATGTGGGTATCCAAAAGGACTCTGCTCTTGTGTAAAAGAATCAATTCTAATTTTATTGTTATTCAATGGTTTCCTTTAGCAGACACTGCATCGAATTTCGCAAAATATCCATCCATTTCTTGCACTTCTTTTTCCTTATAAGTAGCGCCACTCGTCCTGCAAGTACATCCAAGATTATTGTCTGTGTCTTTTGTGAATGAAGAACTTCCGGCAGTTTTCGGCCATTAGTCTTAATACACGCATGGAAATGAACAGAAATTTGCCCAATAAAAGTTCGATGCCATAAATTAAGAGGCGAATGCCATTGCCATCCTTGGTATGGCGCATCCTGCGCATCCATGGCATCCTCCATGGCCGGGCGCCAGCTGCCCCACAGTGAAAGGATGGGGGAAAGGAGAGGAGTATGCACGGGGTCCTGTTGTTGACCAGGAGAAAGGAATTGAACGTGAACGTGGAAGTGGAAGTGGACGTGGCGCCCAGAGCACACCGGAGGAGGACCGGAGACCCAAAGGCGAGATATGCGATCAGTAAATACGTTTCCGTTCCGTTTGCTAATAAACTTCCTCTTCAGCTTTAATTCTTAAATGGTCGCCAGATGGTGATGGATGCTGCTCCTCCCAAAAAAAATAACGAGAGATAGAAGCCATGGAGCTCCTGGGGTGCAGTGGGGTTGGGGGCATAGTCATTACTCTCAGCTGGTGCTGCTGGGTGTGTGCTGTAAACTCGCAACACTTTGATGTTTTCAGAAATTATTTCATTTTCTATATCCTCCACACTCTGCGAAGAGTTTCAGCTATGGATGCTGTTACAGCAGGGCCCAGGACACGAAGGACTGGTCCTGGGACAGGACGCGGACTTTAGATTTATGGCCGGGAGCCAGACAAAGTGTCTGCGGTTCGGTCAGAGCCTTCAAGGCGACGACGATGACGACGAATTCTGCGGGGCTTTTGTGTGTATCGTTCTGCGCTCATCTCGGATGCATCCTGTGTGCCCCAGGATCCCTATTCTGCTCTCCTTTGCTACGTTTGCTACTGCAAACACACACACAAAAAAAAAGTTGAAGAACGAGGGGCCAAAACTTGGCCCTGGGTCACATGTGAGTCAAAGTCAGAAAGAAGCAGGCTGCAGGAGTAGCTGGAGGAAAGTGCAGCAAGGGGAGGAATATCTGAAGGAAGGAAAAGCGGCATAGGAAGGATGAAGGAGGAGCTGTAGCATCCGAAGTAGGAGCATCCTCCAAAGATGGGGAAACAGCAGGAGCATCCAAGAAGTCCAACTTTTTTGCTGCAACGCAATTGCAATTCTCAAGACGAAAGTGCAACGCTGGCATTTGAACCCCAGAGCAAAGCCGGATGTCGGAAGCACTCCATTCAATCTGCAAACAAGCGTCGCCCGTCATCCTTCAGTACCCCCCTCCAACCGTAAAACTGCATCGAAATGAGAAATTCATTTTTTATTTAAATTTCAAGGAGAGAAAAACATCCTGGCCCCTGGCACACATACACACACCCGTGATCCTGCCCCTTGCAGTCTCTCTGGCTTTTCCACTGTCGCTTCCGGCGCGAGGAAGATGAATGCCTCGACGGCAACGACAACACGATGACGCCAATAGTTTTTCTCACCCAATCCAGTCTCCTGCAGAGGTCTTCTCTGGGTGGTCCTCCAGTTTCCGTCGAAAGTCTCCTTAAGTCTTGTTGATTTTAGCCAAAGCCAAAGAAAGATTCAGCAAGATTTCCCCTGCCACTCTTTGGTTTTTTTGGGGCAACTTTTCGCAAGTACCTAAATAATTTTGGAATTTGGGGAACATGCCAAAATTGCCATAATTTTAAGTTATAAATATTTTAATTGAAATTCACATTTAAAAATTAAATAAATACAAAAAAAAACCCTCGTCGTATTTTAACAATTATGCAACTTCATTTAATTCGCGCATAACTCATGGATGAGTTTTTCGAAAAAGTTTGGAATTGCAAACGGAATCGGGCGAAGCGAAGCGGATAAAACTGCCACACCAATCAAATGATTCGACTTGTGGCATACCCCATAATAAAAATGATTGTTCCCTCACTGCGATATCAAATAATGAATTTTACATAAATTATAAATAATTTTTTCGATTTGGCACTGAAATAAAAATTATAAATAAATTATTATTAATCTGTGATACAGCCCAGATATTTAAGTTGAATATACAGGGTATCTTTGGGCATCAAAATCGAGTGGAAAGTATTGTTGTGCCTGCTACCCCTGAAAGAGGGATGGGGAAGGATCGGAGCGGCGGTCCATTGGATGACCGTTTGGTGTTGGCGTTGCCAGAGTGCGTTTATGGTTTGATGATTTACAGTCACGGCCATAAATATTCGCACGGCCAGTGTGCACATTATTCGCGATTTATGCCGGGACCGGCTCCATGCATACATAACTCATGCAACAGCACATGTAAAATTTATGCAATTATTAATTTAACACGCCTGCAATGACCTCTGCAAAGCCAACCCCTCCCGATCCCACTAGATATCTCTCTTACACTTATTCCAGGGCCTATCAATACGGATCTAATCAGAGCATTTAACGGCACTCTGACACCACTCCGCTTTCCGAACTGGAAGAACCAATTTGTAAGGCTGTAAATGGTGGCAGGGCAGAGGAGAGTAAGGGTTATGGCCACTCTCACACTATAATTTACTCGAAGAGCAAAAACACTCACGGAAAAATAATAAATGTCCAATATGTTAGCCCAGCCCTGGCCAACACACATAACGGCGCGGGGGAGCCAAGCGAAAGGCAACATACATACAACAACACTCTCCAACATACATTCAGGGCACAAAATCGACATCAGTGAAAGAAACAACAACAACAGAAGCGCAATAGCGGAAAAAATGTCATTTGAAAAATAGCTTTTAGACGAATTTGCTGTACACTTTCGGGAATAGATCACTGTCAAGAGTTTTTTTATAATTTGAAGAGTTTAAAAGGAGGTGCTATCTAGACAAATATTGTATTGTATTCGGTCTTTAAAAGGAAAATCAACCGATGAGCGCAGCTGCATGGCGCCTACAGAATGTAGATTTTGCGTTTGATAAAGTCTTGTTATTTGAATAAACTTGAGAGAAGTGCTTGAGGAAAGTAGTTGAACAAATGTAAACTCGAGGACATACAATGTAGCTTCGATACGGAGGATTCTCATATATGTATGTATTTCTCGCATAAACTGTGATATAAAATATAACAATGTAATAATTTCATTTGGACCCCAATGTTTATGTTGCATTATCCTTTACATTTCACATACATCTCATCTAAATAGAACACCTTGTGGTAGGGTATGGCAAAAATATGTCCATTCGGCATGTGTGAAGCGAAGGATTATATGGAGGAGAAGCGGTCAAAGTCCTGTGTGGAAAAGATGGTAAAGAAGCTGCTGGATCGTGGGGTGAGAGAAGTGGGGCCACCTGCTAGGCCCGGAGTGCATGGCAGTGAAGTTCCTCCATTGCGAACATGGCCAACATGTCGCTCCATTAATTTGCCATAAAACAGAAGTGGACTAAAATTTGTTTGTAGTTGTTATTGTCCAGGCAAAAAATTACAAATGGTTCCGCTCCAGGGGCAGAGAAACATAGACAGGGAGTGAGCTAGATGCAAAGACAGACAGGCGGGGAATACACATGCTGCTGTTGAGGAGGTCAAAAGCTAGGGGTCTTCTTATTTATGGGCACAGGCACATTTTCTGATGTTCTGTTAAATGTCCGCAATGACACATTGAGGACACCCACTACATTTTTGTTTCTGTTTGTCAGAGAAGGGCATTAGTAGGGCTCGGCAACGCAGATCTATTTCCATCATGATATGTACAGACATACAAACATATATGTAACATGAGAATTGTAGATAAGCCAAAAACTGTAGACGAATGCTAATCTGACTGCAATTTGCACACAATAATTGTAAACGAGCGAAAGGGAATGGGAAAAAACAAAACTTAGAGCGACACATTATGGGTAGCCGCCGAGTGGATACCTATTAATTTTATGCAAGCAAAACAAGGCACTGCGGTAACAATCACTCGTTATCTTTCGTCTCTTCATACACAGAGGGGACACAACTGAACGGTATAAGCTCAAACATGGAATGTTGAATCGAACATGTTTGATGCCGTGCATGCACGATCGTGTAGGTTCGATATAACTTAATGCCGTTCTTTGACACATGCTAATATGTTTCGCACTGTTTAAATAACTAATAAACCTAATAACCTAAATAATATAATATACCCCTTTTATTCTACGAAAGGGGACATAAATGTACAGTTCATCTCTGAAAACATATGGCTAGTCAATTATATTAATATCGCGCACACCCACTTCCACCCACCTATGGCTACCTTCCCACTTGGTAGCCCTGCAATCTTTCTCGTAATTCATTCACAATAAACATAAACAACGAAACAGCTGTTTTAGAGTGGAAGAGTTGATAACATTTGACCGCTAGTTCTCAGGGAGGCAAGTCGATTAGTCTATTATCGCCTGCACCGACGTAGGTGACCCGCCCAGAGCCCCCTAGAGCGATAATGGTTAATTGCTATTCGTTTTCTGTCGTCTAAATCAGTTCCAAGTCGACTTTCAAGGCATACAGTTGCGGATTTAATTGAACTACTAAAATGGCAAAGGATAATCTGACAGCAGTGCTCCATGGCATTGAGGATATGCGTTTGGTGAGCTTTTGGAAATACGCATATTACACAATTTCTATAACTCTCCGTTTGTTTACCAGGAACAACGTCCTATTCCAGTGATAGGCGATGATGGTAAGTGGTAGAGAGAATACAGATAATAGCATTTACTCATTGAACTTGAATTCTCCTTGGATTTACTTCAGAGGTGCTGCTTGCTATGGATAGTGTGGGCATTTGTGGCTCCGATGTACACTACCTCAAAGAAGGACGCATTGGCGACTTTATACTGACCAAACCCATGGTCATAGGACATGAGGCTGCCGGTGTTGTGGCCAAATTGGGGAAGAAGGTTAAAAACCTAAAGGTGGGCGATCGTGTGGCCATCGAGCCGGGTGTACCCTGCCGCTACTGTGATCTCTGCAAACAGGGAAAGTACAGTCTCTGTGCGGACATGGTGTTTTGTGCCACTCCCCCTTACGATGGAAATCTCACGAGGTACTACAAACATGCCGCAGACTTTTGCTTCAAGCTGCCGGATCATGTGTCAATGGAGGAGGGTGCACTCCTTGAGCCCCTCTCAGTGGGTGTCCATGCCTGTCGTCGTGCTGGCGTAGGCCTTGGCTCTCGTGTCCTCATCCTGGGCGCTGGTCCAATTGGTTTGGTCACTCTTCTGGTAGGTTAACCGAGGAATAACTTCCAGCATGGAAAACCTAACATTTCCCATTTTTAGGTTGCTCAATCCATGGGAGCCTCAGAGATTCTCATTACGGATTTGGTTCAGCAGCGTCTGGATGTGGCCAAGGAGCTGGGCGCCACACACACTCTTCTTCTGAAGAGGGATCAAAGTGCCGAGGAGGTGGCCGAGATTGTACGCCGTACAATGACGGCACAACCGGACAAGTCCATTGATTGCTGTGGAGCCGAGAGCAGTGCCAGATTGGCCATTTTTGTGAGTGCATCGTAGCCTTTTTTTGGTGTCAAATAACTAAGTTTTGACGTACTCATTTCAGTCTACTGTTTCCGGAGGTGTTGTGGTGATTGTGGGCATGGGTGCCCCGGAAGTGAAGCTGCCCTTGATCAACGCTTTGGCCCGTGAGGTGGACATTCGTGGTGTCTTCCGCTACTGCAATGAGTGAGAAATGAATATAAAAATACATAAATAAATGTATTCTTTAACCATTCTGTCCTCCAGCTATGCCTCTGCCTTAGCTTTGGTGGCCTCTGGCAAGGTCAATGTCAAGCGTCTGGTGACCCATCATTTTGACATCAAGGACACGGACAAGGCTTTTGAGACCTCCCGAAAGGGTTTGGGTGGAGCCATCAAAGTGATGATTCATGTCCAGCCCAGGAACACAAACAATCCCGTCAAATTCTAGATTTTCTACCTCTGTACATAGGTTTCCTTTTCTTAGTCAGTAAACTGTTGAATTTTATTCAAAACAAATTATTTTATTAACACAAAAACTGGAGACAGAGTCGACAGTCATGCAATATTCATTTTTCGACTAAAAATTACCGGTAAAATCTAAATTTTAAAGGGTTTACACAACACGCTGAAAGCAGGGCAAAACCAAAATGATCGGAAGAATACCAATCTGTCGTAGACCCATTCACTATTTGGGATTGCTGCGTCCTTCCCTGAGATCCGCACAGATCTCGCCCATCGCGGAGCGTCGCCTTAAACATGGAATGGACGACTCCGGAGAGGAGTCATCGGCCAAGGCCCACACTCGCCTGCGACAGGTGAAAAGTATTAAAGTACGGCAGAGTTTTTGTAAGAAAGAAAACCCAGCCAGGGATGGTGCAGCGACTAGCGGCCTGATGACACAGTACGTGGGGCATGCAAAGGAGGAATCAATGAGTGAAGCAAAGGATGAATTGACGAGTGGGGCAAAGAATGATTCTATGTGTGAGGAAACAAAGGTGCCGTTGAGTGATTCGAAGAATGAACCCATTAGTGAAACAAACGACTCACCCCAGAGTGATGCCAAAGACGAACCCTTCACCACCGAGGTCCCCCAAGAGCGTAGGCAGGAGTCTCCCTTCGAGTGCAGGCCGGAGCTACCCATGAAGGGGCAGCCGGCCACTCCCACACAGCCATACCCAGCCGTAGTAAATCCCAAGAATCCCTATCCCGTTGTGACATGTCAACAGGATCAGGATGCTGTTCCATCGAGCTCTGAAGCATCCGAAGGTAAAGTGAAGATATCTGGCAAGATCATCTTTAAGGACAACTCTCAGTTAGAAACCAAAGCATGTAATATTCTTTCAAACGAAGCACCGTCAACGAAAGGCGAGTCCATGAATGTTTGGGCACAGTCCTATGCCTCTGATGCCATGGACCCCGCGAAGAAGGACTCCAAAGTAGACTCTGCCGCCATGCAAGACAAAAAGCAAATCATTTTGGAATTTGAAACACAAGCCTCAAAAACAGAAGGAAACAATCCAAGCTCTGAGAAACCGAATGAGATTGTAGAAGGAAAGCAGCAGAAAACTGAGGAGTTATATCCAACTACCCCAAAAGGATACGAGATTGGTTGTGTGATAGATTTTAGTAACGGAATCCAGATCTCCAGAGATTCGGCAGGAAAGGCAGAACAAGTCGTGGAAGCTGAAACTGAAAATCTTGAGGATACGATCAAGACATCCTCGACAGCAGAACACGAAGAAAAACCTGCGAAAGCCATCCAAGAAGTGGAAGAAGTCAAAAACAGCAAAGACATTGATATAAAATCTCCAACCAATAGCTTACCAATAAAGATCGTAAGGAATGAGGATGGTTCACCTGTTGACCCCCCGCCAATTATTACACGAATACCATCATCGGAGCTTAAGTCGGATAAGGATGTGTCGCCAGAAGAGTCCTCGTCTTCGAAATACAAAAGAAATCTAGAGTTTATACAGACCGAACCGGTGCTTACCAGCGATGGGGAAATGAAATTGGTGGAACCCACATCGGTGGACTTGAGTCTCGAGCCATCAATGAAGAAAGCCACAGAAATGACACCGGAAGTTGAAGAATTTCAATCGAAGACAAACGAACTGCAATCTGAGATAAAAGAACTTCAATCAGAGGCAACAGAACAGAAATCGGAGGCAACTACAACTGAATTAGAGTCAAAAGAACTACAATCGGAGGTGAAAGAACTTCAATCGGAGGCAACAGAACAGAAATCGGAGGCAACTACAAATGAATCAAAATCAAAAGAACTCCAATCGGAGATGAAAGAACTACAATCAAAGGCAACAGAACAGAAATCGGAGGCAACTACAAATGAATCAAAATCAAAAGAACTACAATCAAAGGCAACAGAACAGAAATCGGAGGCAACTACAAATGAATCAAAATCAAAAGAACTCCAATCGGAGATGAAAGAACAGAAAGCGGAGGCAACTACAAAAGAATCAAAATCAAAAGAACTACAATCAAAGGCAACAGAACAGAAATCGGAGGCAACTACAAATGACTCAAGATCAAAAGAACGCCAAACGGAGAGGAGAGACGTACAANACAAAAAAAAAAGAACATCAAAAGGAAACAAAAGAACTAAAAACAGAAGAAACAGAAAAGAAATCAGAGACAAAAAAAAAAGAATCAAAAACAAAAGAACTACAATCAAAGGCAACAGAACAGAAATCGGAGGCAACTACAAATGAATCAAAATCAAAAGAACTACAATCAAAGGCAACAGAACAGAAATCGGAGGCAACTACAAATGAATCAAAATCAAAAGAACTCCAATCGGAGATGAAAGAACTACAATCAAAGGCAACAGAACAGAAATCGGAGGCAACTACAAATGAATCAAAATCAAAAGAACTCCAATCGGAGATGAAAGAACTTCAATCGGAGGCAACAGAACAGAAATCGGAGGCAACTACAAATGAATCAAAATCAAAAGAACTCCAATCGGAGGTGAAAGAACTTCAATCGGAGGCAACAGAACAGAAATCGGAGGCAACTACAAATGAATCAAAATCAAAAGAATTTCAATCGGAGATGAAAGAACTACAATCAAAGGCAACAGAACAGAAATCAGAGTCTAAAGAAGCTGTTTCCGCTTCCAAGATGGATTCCCAGAATACTCCCAAGTCCGCTGCAGAAATAATCTCCATGCTGGAGCTTAAACAAAAAGCCATGAAATCCATATCCCATGGCAGCACACTGGCTGATCCGCCAATCAAATCCACATCCCAGATAGTGGCAACATTTGGCTTGAGACCCGAGCCTGGTCAAGGATTCAGAGCCAAAGGAACACTTAACAATACCGAGCTGGACAGACAAGCTGATGAATACTTTGCGAAGATCAACGAACACGAGACGTCACAACTGGAAAAGAAAATGGAACCAGAGACCTCGAAAATAGAGAGTAAAATCGAATCGGAAACCTCAAAATTGGTGAACATAATGGAACCTGAAAGCTCCCAATTGCCGAAAATAATAGAACCTGTTAACTCCCAGTTAGAGAATAAAATGGGTGCCAAAACCTTACTACCGGAAAGTAAAGTGGACCAAGTAGAGACCCCAGAGGAATCCAACAGAAAAGCTGAAGAATATTTTGAAAATATTGCCGAACTAGAGATCTCGCAACTGGATAGACAAATGGAAGAATCAAAGTCCTCCACGTTTGAGGAACTATCCGCCATCTCAAAGACTGATAAAAGCTCAGAATTGGAGACAAAAGTAGAAGATGTGCAGAACCCAAACGAACCCAAGGAGTACGCTACGTTCAAGGCCATGGTGAAGCAGAGAAAAGCTGACGAATACTTTGCCAAAATAAACGAAGCAGAAATCTCACAGCTTGACGGGAAAATAGAGCCTGAAAGCACACAATTGGACGGGAAAATGGAAACCAAATCACAAGAAAAATCAAAGTCTTTCGAGGATATGTCCACAGAGGGGAACAAGGAGCAAACAGACAATACCGACCAGAAGAATACGTCAAAGGAAATGAATCCAGACGTTGACATAGACGACAACAAAGTGGAGGACAAAAAGGAGTTGCCATCGGATAGACCTCTCTTTGTGCCCGCTGACGATAAGGATAGGCTACTAGAAAAAAGTGAACTGACAGGAGGAGAGCTCTACAAGCCCCAATCGGAGGATCCCATGTCTGATGATTATAATTATGATTCAAATCCCACCACTGACAAGAACGAAAAGAAGGAGAAACCAAGAAGTAAACCCAAGTTGGAGGATGGAGAGCTAGATGTCAAACTGTTGGTGCCGGACAAAACCACCAACACTGCCAGCGGGATTCCTGAGACAACTGCAGCTCCAGCGAAACAGAACTTTGTTCAATATATTTTTGGGAAGATATTTCGCAAAGAAAAGAAGACCCCACCAGCAGACAGAACAATGTCCACCGATTGCCAGAGGCGAGACCTGAACACAAGCTCTACTCTGCTGTACCCTGAGCATGATGACATACTTGATGATCCGTACAGCCCAGAAGTGGGCAAGGTAATCAATCCAGACGATAAGGATTTCATTTCGCCAGATCTTGAAAGGCAGGGTCTGGGTGCCACAACAATACACGAGGAACGCTATGATCAACCCCAGGCCATGAAGAAGGATAATCCGGTGGGTGTTTGGTCAATCATCAAATTAAAGGCTCCTTTGAATACTCAGCCATCAAAGAAGATGAGCATGGCCATGCCCATTTTGCGGTTTGCCAGCGATGACAAAGGTTCCCTCAAGATACGCAGCGCTTCCCCCCAATGCAAAAACCGGGAAAAGACAGTCCATGAAGAGCTAATGGAAAAGAAGGAGAATCAAGAAAATAAAACCGAGATCCTGGGCGACTCCGAGCAGTGTGCCGAAAAGATGGAGAAACTAAAAAAAGAGCCCAAAGATGATGATTGCAAACGCAGCTTCAGCAGCTACTTTGAAGGATTCACCAAAATGTTTTGGGTAAGGAAATAAGAGATCATTGACAGATCCCCAAGGAAAAAATACTTTTAAAGGGTAGCAGAACTTTCGCCATACAGAACAGATTCAATGTCACATCGAGGTGACTAACTCAGCTCCACTTACTCGTAGATTAGTTCTCACTCTACGTAAAGTGGAAAATATTTAGAGTCAATTAAAAGTTTATGACACCCCGCCAGCCGACTACTGATAAGATGACAAAATTGTTGATAGTAGTAGTAAGTACAGCGCCTACGCGTTGAGAGAATGGGAATGTTTAGTAGTATAAATATAATCAGTTGGGCGGGGTTATTTGTGGGTCAGGAAACAAATCAAATTTCCAACTAATGGGCAAACAGTCTTCTAGTATTTCAGATGCAGACCCGAGCAAAAAGGACAAATAAAAGAGGAAATGCTGTAGAGGTTTCCCAACCAAATTGAAGCTTTTTGATCAATCAAATTACAATTATTTCTTATACAAAATTAAATTATATCCAAATTATGCTTACAAGTAATTAATGAAAATATAAACATTTTTGGATGGCCATTTGAGACATTTATTAACAAAATTGGTTTCCTCTTTTGACTTACATTTCTAATAAACTTCGATGAATCTGCAATTAATTTCCTTCTCCAAACACTGGCTATCAAATATGTACATATCTACAATTTAAACCATTTGTGGCAGTAGAACCGCCTATTGGGTTTGCTTATACTACAAAACTGTTTTCCAAAATTCTTGAAAAATAGTAGGCTTTCCTTTTTGATGCCCCAATGCCATACGTGCTTTGCCATAAACATGTCAGTTCACATCGAATGCTCGATAGGCTCGTTTCTAAATGTTTCGGTTTTTGTTTTAAATTTTTTTTTTAGCAATGTCTTAGGGTTTGCAGATACAAATGAAGCTCTGCATTCCTTATCACCTAATTGCACGTACTTTTTGATCATTGAAAATTCGTTGTAAAATTAGAAACAATTTCACGTTTTTAAGATGCTGAAAAGAACGGCATTAGCCTTGGGCAGAAGTATGCAGGAATGCCTTCGGGCATGCAGAATTGCGTTTCAGCCAACAACCACCGTCCGCAGCAGCTGTAGTCATAACGAGGATCACGGACACAACACTTCGGACAAGTGTCTTCTGAAATCGGTACTCAAAAGACGGAGCACAGGTGAGTAAAGGACATTAATACGCTTGAAGGATCGGCTATTTCTCCGATGATACACGTAGATGTTACACTGGACACGGACGGCGCACGCTCGTGTGGCTGTAGGACCGACAACTTGTTTCTTAAGAATTATATGGTCATGGCTTATGTGGCCGCTTGCATGGGCGCCGAGAAAGTACAGTTTGGACGGCATCCTGTCTACCATGAACCGATCAAAAGCGATCAATTTCCTTTCAGTTCCGGTCCATTCTGCCACCATTCACCTTTTCAAGCCATCGGTAGAAGTGTCCATACCCTGAGATCGGTGCCAGTTTCATTGAAAATTCATTCAGAACCATCAAAAATCATTATTCCCAAGAAAAAGGAGGATAATTCAGTCATAGTGATCAGGGAGGTGAAGCCATTTAAGAACTATAGTTTCCCAGCTCTGGACAAGGATTTCATTTACTATCGGGATCTGCAGAAGGTCAACAAGATCCAGAAGGATGCCAAAACAAGTAAGAAAGAGCCCGATGATAAGGGGGACCTTGAAACAATTTGGATAAATGCACAATTCAAACGCCAAAAAGTGACCATGGTAAAATCTGGCAGCGAAGCCAAAAAGGGAGAGCAGAAAATCGGCAAAGAATGTAATAAAAATGATAAAAAGGAGAAAAAGAAGGAATCCATTGAAGACATCTGTAAGATAAGAAACGATTGCTCGAAATTGGCGAAGAAAATCAGGGCCGAAATGTTCCTCAAAATGTGCCAGGCTCGAGCCGATAAGTTAAAGTGTACTGGAAAGAATACAGATGATGTGAAGGAAGAACTCCGAAAGAAGTGCAAGAAAGTGGTGGAAGCTTTGAAGTGCAAAAAGAAGGCCGAAGAAGAAAAGTGCAAGAAAATGGCCGAAGAAGCAAAGAGCAGGAAAGATGGCCAGAAAGAATACTTCAAGCAGCTGGTCGAAAAGTCAAAGTGCGAGAAGGAAAAACTCCAAAGCCAAGTGGCAGAATTGAGAGCCATGCAGAAGGCCTGTCAGGAATTTGCCGACAAGATCAAATGCGCCAAGGAAGCCAAGAGAATGGAGCTGATACAAGCCTGCCAGGCGCTGGTCGAAAAGGATCGATGCGAGCAATGGGCCAAAGAAAAGCAGAAGCAGCAGAGAGCCGAAAGCAAGGCAGGTGGCGACTCCTGTAAACAAATCAAATGCGGCGGCAGGCCCAAAAACAAAGCCAATCTCGAAGCAGAGCAATATTTAAGGGAGCAATGCAAGAGATTGGCTGAACAGAACAGATGCATGAAAATCCGGGAAAGGTACAAGCTGGAAAGGAGAGCAGCTGAACTGAAGAAAAAATGCGAGCTAGTGGCCCGAGAGCAGAAATGGAGAGAACTGGTGAAACAGAGCAATTCCAAGAAACAAGCGGGACTAGAGAAATGCTAAAAGGCCGAAGAGGGGAAAAACACTCGAAGTAGGAATGCAAATCCAAGTCCGCCACGAAACGAGTGGCCCAAGAGAACACGAGTCAAGAACTGGAGGAAGCCAGCCTCAAATTTGACATGTGAAGAATGTTCCATACAATACAATAATAATGTCTACCTGATTCTCTGAGTGCAAAAGAGAGCAATAAATGGAACGTTCCTCGTTTTTAAATTTTAAAATAATATTTGCGTTTTATTACGAGAGTCGTATGAGTTTTACTTTAGCTTTGAGTTCCAGGCACTATTTGCTGCGAGTAGAACTGAATTGCTGAGCAGCGTAATTGACAGAATTTTGTGCGCTTTTATAACGTGTACAATATATAGAGGGGGTTGGCGGATTGCTGCTTTCGCTTTGGACGGAAAGCTATTATCAAATAAATGCAAGCCGAACGAACAATCAAAGAAATCGAGTAGAGCACACTTGAATATCATTACTGGGGTCATGGTCCGAGATTGGTTTTTAGTGATTCACTGGCGGCGCTGTGGCATTGTTGAACTGAAATGTTGGATAGCGTGGAGCAAAGCCGCCCTCGCCGCTCATCTGTGTGTGTTCCGAGTCATCGCGTCCGGCAATGGTGGGCGCCCGATACTGTGTCTCCACAAACTGCGGTGGCGCTGTAGCAAAATATAAATTAAACCAATTAAATCACATTTTTTTGTTGAAAACCTCAGGACTCACGTATATTGGGATATAGACCACCGCCGCCGCCAGTGCTATCGGCGACATTCCAGCCCAGGGCCCCGCCCAAAGCACCATCCGAAGCGGGTGGACTGGCTGGACTCACCGGCTGTGTGGGCGCCAGGGAGGGATCCTCCGATTGGGTAGCCGGAACATCTGTATATTGAACGGGCGGCTTCATGCCAGCCAGCGGAATGGTCCCCAAAGTGATGGGCACTTTGCCCGTAAGATTTCTATGAGCACCGCTGACCTCGCAGGTCACATGCAGGTCATAGTCCAATGCAATAACGCCACAGTTGGATAGATTGGTTGGCGGCAGTGCGGGTATCTCCATCTGCTGCGTAAACGTGTGAGAGTCCCCGCCATTCACTGGGCCAATGCTGAGATTCGAAATGATCACCTTTGATTCGCGTTTCTCGCTGCGCGGCTGGCTCGTATGGAAGGTGACCAGCTTGCGGAGCTCAAACTTCACGGCACTGAGATTCACGTTGCTGGCGTTGTCCACCTCGCACGTAATGGGCAAGATCTGACCCGAAACATAGCCAGTTTGCGGTATGCTCGTGATCACGGACAATGGCCCCGAGGCACAGCAGAAGCAGCAGAAGGACTTCTCCAGCTCCAGCTTAAAGGGATCCTTGACACGTGGATTGAGATTCAAGTCGACCGGGGCTATGACCGTAAAGGCCATTTTCATATCCTGATCGAATTTCCATGGTCGATCCAGCGTGACCTTGATGGTATAGCGCACATGTCCGAACTCCCCCTCGAACGACGAGGGCAGAGTAGGTGGCAAGGCGCAAGTAAAGGGATAGGTGTGGGTACCCGGCGGCAGCTCCGTCTCAGAGCCTGAAAGGGTATGCCATTAGAGAGCGAATATGTTGGTAGATGTCCATGGAATACTCACTGTTCTTGCCGCCCAGAAGATAGTATTGGATTCTAAAATACTCCTCATGGCCCTTCAGTGTTGTGATTTCGTTCTCGGTCTTGCCCTCACTGGTGGTCACATTACGCTCCTCATTCCATTCCGTATTGGCCTCGCCCAAGAATCGTATTATGATGCCTGCAAAGAAAAAGTGTTTCCTATGAATGACAATTTACTGCGGTCTACCCCAACCCTCTGTAAAATTAGCTATAAATAATATAAAAGCTACTGCGTCTCTGCTACGCTCTCGCTGACGGCTCTCGCTCTTGGCATACCCAACAGATGACATCATCGCTAGGCAGCAGCAGCACATCGTTCCAATGTGTTTGCTGGCCTCAATCAAAGGTTTTTATACATTCTGTATTTATTGTGATCACACTTGTGCCTATAAATAGTTTTGTTATCTCTCAAATTGGAAGTGCACACAAAAGGGAGAGAAAGTGCATTTCTTTGATAGGTTCAACAACCGCGAACCACTGTGAAAAACAGAGCCGCAACTAGGAGTAGGGTGTTGGGTGGTCTCATGACCGACACCCGGCTTATGGGGTGCCAGGACTACCCCATTCTAAGACGTACAAAGAAAACGGCCTGCATATATTATACATTTATTTCTTCTGGGCTGTCGTCACTCTGATGAGTAACAAGCCGCAACCTCTCAGCTGATGTGAATAATTATTACATACTCCCCTCTCCACAAGGCTTTCAATTTTGACACCACTCACCTCGAACCTTCTTGGGCGAGTCAAAAGTAAACTTTGCCTGGCCATTCACCGTCTGGCCGGCATAGTACGTGTTCCAGGGATTGTCCAATTCCACTTCACAACCTTTGAGACCCATGTTGGAGATTCAATGTTGAATGCACTAACAAATAAACGACAATTTCTCTAAAGTTGTTTTGAATGGTCAATTCTGTGTGCACATAGCACACCAACGATGGATTTCAATTTTGTGTTGAACTGGATTAATGTTTGGTACGAGCTAATTTCCTTTCTTCTTTTTCGAATAATTATTATTATATTTCGTTAGCGATGGGTAGTTTAGTCTTGTTGTGTTGTTATATTAAATGTTATATGCGATGCGTTATCGATGTTATCGCAAGTCTCACAAATGTTACTTGCGACTACGTGCATTTTGGCAAGTGTGTGCCTATCAAAATCACTGCCACTAAGCTTCTAGCGTCAATTTTGGCTTTTAGCTTATTTCTTATTTTAGCTTATTTAGGAACCATGGTTTTGCTGAGGTAGAGGGAAAAAGCTGGCAAACTCGGCATACTTTCTCTCCGATTCTCCCTTTAGTATTCACATATTGCATCTTTAAGATTCCATTTAGCGACTGTATATTTTCCCAGTCTGTGTGCTTCTTTGGCTGCTGTGTCTACTGCCGTGTTCTGAGGGAAGTTGGCATGGCCGGGTATGAAATGGATTTCTACCTTCTTTAGGTATTGGGCTTGACGGATCTTTTCCCTGTTTTTATAAGCGATCAAATTATCCTGAATGCTCCTTGCCAGTATTAGTAGACCTCAGCTGTCGTGTAGGAAAGCTGCGCTAGAGTGCCTGTTTTCTACTGATCCAATTAGTGCCCGTTTTTCCCTATGGAGAACTAATATGCCCGCCTGGTCCAAGTTGTGCTTGTTAGTAGCAGCCCCCTTAAAAAAGTTTAGGTCTGACCTAATTTTGGTGCAATGCGAAGTTGTACTCTCAGAGACCTCGATTCTCTCCAGAATATCACCGTGTAGCCCGTGTTTATGTCCCTGTTTAGGGACCCCGTCCTACTCACTGGGAGGTTTTACGCAAATGCCTTGGCTAACTCCTTTGCCGCTAGGCATCTCATTCTGTATTCCGGGGGAAGGTCTCCTGCCAGGTGGTAAACAATCGGGGTTGGAGTGCAAATGATTAAGCCTAGTAACTTCCTGAGGTTACAATGTTCCTGAGGTGGTGGTTACAATGAGATTTGATTTTGGCTAAAGCGGATTTGGACAAGTTACTGAAAGATGAGCAAGCGTATTCTAGTCTACTTCTGACAAAGGCTTGTAAACTATTAGCCCTCTCTTTGGGTTGATACCGTAATGGCACCCACTGAATAGTTCGCTGAAATTGTTCTGCCTAGATATTTGATCTGATCTACTTGCCTAATCTCGACTCCTTGGTGCTTAATGTTCAGCTCGGTTCTTCGGATGCTGAAGTGAATCACTTTGGATTTGGCTGGGCTGGCCTCAAAGCTGTCTATTTTGCCTACGGGCATACGTTTAGCAAAGGAAATCTCTTTATGGAAGCAAATAATAAAGAAATCGTCCGCATACGGAAATTGTAAACAGTTGACATCGTTTATCTCGTGCAGTTCTGCGGTGTACAAGTTGAACAAAATTGGACTGGGACAGCTCCCTGACTAACTCCCCTGTTCACCTCAACCTCACTCTTGCCCTTGATGAGTAGGCGCCTGCTTAGGAAGCGGCAATCCAGGCAGTGTGATTCGGGATGAGCTGCATGACATTCATCTTCTGCTCTAGCGTGTCCACTCTTACGCAGTCAAAGGCCCTTTGTAGGTCAAGACAGGCCGCCACGACCTGAGCAGGACCTCGTTGATCAGGTCGTTAATGCAGAGCGCCGTGGACCTGTTCCTCATGTATTGAAATATGTTCGTCCAGCTTTAACTTTATCAACC